ATGGAGCATATGGTATATACATTTCCCTTAATTATTTAATGTCAAAGAAGGTTTCGTGATACGACAGAAAAAAACAATGAAATCTAAAACGCTAAATGTTATGAACGATATAAAGGAGATATTTGAACATCAGAAAAACTAATGATAAAACGATAAAATATCTTATAAAATTCAACACATATACAATGACTCTCTGATTGATCGATTGAGTGTTGCTTACTTAACATCCCGGAGCAATTCAACCCTATGAAGACACCAGCACAGTTAGTGAAAAGTTATAAAACATTGCTTTAAAAGGATTTATAAACGGACGCTGAGATCATGCTTTCTTAGAATAGAAAAAAAATCCGTAATTCCGTTCGTTTAAAATAATCGATTTTGTTTGACAGAAAATATTCACAAACTGTTGTTATTTGATGCTTCAATAGACGAATGTCCATAGATAAAATTTGATAAATAACATGCTCATACTTGCAAAACAGATCAGGTATGTTCTAAACTGGAAGCTCAATTTTTCTTCTTTATCAGGAAACAGATGTGAAAACGATCTTCACCATTTCAAAGAAAAAGGAATAGTTGAACCTTAAGTATACTAGTATTTTGAAGAATTGTACGAATTCATAAGAGACAGATTTACACCTGATAATAAAACAAACTTGATACTCATAATTTTTAAAGTTTAAAGGTAAAAAAAGAGAACAAAAGAACTAACTCGTGGCAAAGTAGTGACAATAACATCATTTACTAGGTTTATGTTTTTACCATTCTGATGACTACAAAGTGTTCCATAACAGTTAAAATGATACAAGCAATAGTTTATTTTCAACAAAACAGATTTGAACCTCAAGACACAACTAGATTTTACAATATAAAAAAGGAGATGTGATATGATTGCCAATTAGACAATTAACCAAGTTCTAAGTAGTTTTAAGCATATACAAGTCTATTTCTGCAATTGTAGGTACATTCACATCTCTTAATTCTGGATCGTGACCAAAGCGATGCCAACTTTGGTAAATGTCCAGAATTAAGAGATTTGAATGTGCATAAAATTGCAAAAAAAAAAGCAAAAAACAAAAACAGATCGATGTACATTGATAATGAATGGAAAAAGTATAATATTATTTGAAAACAGAGTATTATAATTATATTGCAAATGAAAACCGATGTTTAACGGAAATAGGAATTGTTGGATATGTTATAGAAGTACATGGTATGAGAAAAACATGGCCAAACAACACAAGAGCCAATAAAGCATGGATTGGACTAAGAGACAGAAAGCATTTGAAATTACATAAAATATAGTGAAGCATTGAAGACAAAGTCAGTTTCCTGTAATTATTGAATTTTAGCCGATGAAGAAACTCAGACTAATTGAGGCTAGAACCTTTATCATGTGTAGATACACAATTGTTTAAACTGCAAATGCATTAAACATTATATTATCCTGCATAGAAAATATTGAACTGAAAAATATAAGTAACCATGTTTCGCGATTCCCAAGCATAACACAATATCAATATGTTTCCCGATTCCTAAACACAAAACACAATGTCAATATATGTACAATTGTGATTTTTGCACAAGATACCATTCCAAATTAAATACAATTTGACAATGCATCATGATGTTTTCTTTCGATAGATTATATTTCCATAAGAAAGCTTACAGGATCATGCTGTAAAAGAGTGGTGAAAGATACCAAACGTCATGGCAAAAACCAAAGAAGAAAAAGAATACTTTTGTCTAATCACTTTTATCATTGACACCCGAAAAAAGATTAGTGAATTTTCTATTAATTACGTTTACAATATTCATATAGTATTAAGAATAGAAATTGTCCACAGCCAACTATTAATAGTGATATTGTTTATTGTCCACAGCCAAATATTAATAGTAATATTGTTTATTGTCCACAGCCAACTATTAGTAGTACTATTGTTTATTGTCCACAGCCAACTATTAATAGTAATATTGTTTATTGTCCACAGCCAACTATTAATAGTAATTTATTGTCCACAGCCAACTATTAACAGTAATATTATTTATTTAGCTTACAACTTTAGTCTGTTTTAAAAGGGCGTTTCGCTATCTCATATTTCGCAAGGCAAACAGGCCTTCATCTGAAAAGTTTGTTATTGGGAATCCGAGATGATATCTAACAGTTTTATGTAGATTTGATTTATATGTAACATATACATGGGATCTTTTCATTATTCTAAGTTTCTTCCACAATCAGTGTATACACACTCTGTAAATTAACACCAAACGGAGATGAGACGAAAGTAGTATGTTGATAGTCGTGAGAAGGTAGGCAATGCTAGCGTGATCCTTACGCCGGAATTACACAATAAAAAACCAATGCAACTGCAATAGTACTGACTGCATGCTGATTGAAAACTAAGGGCATGGGAAAGGGCAACAAGAAGAATGTTATTGGTGGAAAATGTACTACGTAAATTAAAAACGAATTACTCATATTTCACTAGGTGAGACAAAAATCACAAGACAAATACTTAATTATTTCAGACGTAAGTTTTTTTCCCCACAAAAGACTCAACATAATCACGAAAGTGTAGGGTATTGGTAACCAAAACTTGAATTAATCTTTCATAATGTATCATCCGGCATCATCATAATACCTTTTAAAATTATGTATATTTCATGTTTGTAAAAAATGATGTATAATTATAGATTATCGTTGATCATCTCAACGAGATTGATTTTCTCGCTTGATCCGGTACGGCGAAAGTGACAAAAGCAATCGAGTTGAGTTGACCAATGATAATCTGTTTATCGCTTTTTTTTAGCTATGACAACGTTGTCAATTTCATGTCAATTTCATTGACAACGCCACGTACCCCGTTGGTTTCTAGCGATAACTTTTTAATATTACTCGACTACGCTGAGAAAGGAAATTATCAGTCAGCAAGATCAAAGGAAAATTTCGTAAAATAGCGGTAATTATAGATTATCGTTGGTCATCTCAACGAGATTGATTTTCTCGCTTGAGCCGGTACGGCGAAAGTGAGAAAACAATCGAGTTGAGATGACCAATGATAATCTGTTTATCGCTATTTTACCTATGACGACGTTGTTAATTTCATTGACAACGGCACGTGCGCCGTTAGTTTCTAGCGATAATTTTTCATATCACTCTACTGTGCTGAGAAAGGAATTTATCAGTCAGTAAGATCAAAAGAAAATTTCGTAAAATAGCGATAATGTATATTTTTTAAGTGTGTGTTTAAATAAACGAATTACATCAGTTTGTTTGTTTCCAATTAACAGTGTCAGTTATACTGTACCAGATGGACATTTCGACAAGTAATGTTTCTTCTGTGTTGTCCGAGGCCAAAACATTTAGAAATCCATAAAAATAATACAAATATTTTAGGGTTGATTAAAAAACAATTAATATAACCGAATCCGTATAAAGATTAAGGCCGTGTTCACATTGAGCTATATTCGGTGTGGTGTAAGTGTACTCTACACTTAAACTAAACTATATTACGTTCCCATTGTTAAAAATCAATGTCTCATGTAGTTTAGGTTTTCAATACACGCAGTCGATAGTCAATGTAGGCCTTGTGTGGGTTAAGTGTTCATAAAACTAGATATTAAGAACGTGGATTTTATTGTGAATATTTAAGGAACTTACAAATATTGAAAAAATGATTATAATAATCATATGAATTAAGTAATTTTCCTATTTATATGACAAAAACTCAAAATTTTTTTTAAAGTTAGTACCAGTCCAGACTATTCATTTCCAAAATCACCCTATGTTGTGACTGGGGAATAGAAATATGGTCACTTGGATCTTCTTCCGAATGGCCGTAAAACCCTTGCCAAAGTGGGGCGTCCGTTTTGCTGTGAGGGATGTACAAGTACTAAGCCACGTCCGATCAGAATGGGAACATTACATCCGAATGTCAAAATATTTGCGCGTTAAGAAACTTTGCAAAAACTCTTTTAAGGGTCCGAAGGTGTCCTGTTGCAAGGCAAAATTTCTGTCCCTATCCAATATACTCGCAGATTTCAATGGCAGTCCGAATTGCCCCGATCTTCATATCGGACGGCCTCTATTACAGGACTTTACTTTTGTATTTATTGTAAATTTATTCTCGACCTGACCATGCATGAAATATTTGCCACTGGGTGTTAATCAATCAATCAATCAATCAATCATTTTGAAAATCCTTTTTTGGGCTATTGTTATTCTGTTTCAGCCCGCGTAATCATGACATCTTTAGAACTCTCAAGGTTTTCCAAATCAATAGAACGATTTGCTTAAGGTAAACACCATTCATCTCCGTGGGACAAACTATTTATTTTATTACTTTAATAGAAAAAAAATTTTCAATAACATACAGGATCATTTTTTGAACTCCATGCTGAAATTACTCCCTCCTCCCCGCCCTCTATTTTCAAGAAATCAAACAATTTTCTCACTTCCCTCCTGAAACATTAGATAGAATTGAATTAAAAATTCCTCTGTACATTTTTAATTCAATTCTATGTAATGTAAATGTAAATTACGTGTACATGTTGTTTACTGGTGTGAACAATATTCATGTACAGGTGATGAAGACCGATGTACAGGTGAGAACAAATTTAATGTGAAACCAGTGTTCATTACATGAAACTAATTGTAAACAGGTTTACAGTACGCAACATTTGGTGTGAACACGGCCTTAGATCTTTACACAAGGGAAATATATTCCGAGATGTACAATGATATAAAAAATTTCAGTAAATTTTAACCCGACCAAAGCGCAGAAAACAACCCAAGGCCATCAATGGGTCTTCAACACAGCGATAAAATCCTGCACCCGGAGGCAGGCTTCAGATGGCCCCTAAATAAAATGTGTACTAGTTCAGAGAAAATATGGACGTCACACTAAACTCCGAAACATATAGATGAACCAAAACATTCCTGGGCTGGTGATACCATCTTGGACGAACAGTCTTCATGCAGAGATATCTTTAACAATAAAACAAATAATAATTATATATTGTCTAAACTGCAAATGCATTAAAAATATTATCCTGCATAGAAAATATTGAACTGAAAAATAACCATGTTTCCTGATTCCTAAACATAACACAATACCAATATGTTTCCCGATTCCTAAACCTAGGACACAATGTCAATATGTTTCCCGATTCCTAAACACAGGACAGAATGTCAATATCTGTACAATTGTGATTCTTGCACAAAATACCATTCCAAATTAAACACAATTTGACAATGCAACATGACGTTTTCTTTTGAAAGATTATATTTCCATAAGAAAGCTTACAGGACAATGCTATAAAAGAGCAGTGAAAGAAGTTTTTGTTTTAGTACTCACATTAACAATATAACAAATAATAATTATATATTGGATTTTTGAGATAGACAGCAAGTCTAATGAATTTGACTTCAGACGGTTTTTTTTCTTGCTGAATATCTAATATACATTTATGATCCTGCCCTGGCACATGAGATCATCACAATACATTGTTTTTATTAATTTTTCTTTGGTGCACAAAGTGTTTCCCACATCCGTCGCATGGTGTTGACTGATACGTGATGAACAGTTACTAACGTATTATATTCATTATGACAAAGTCCGAACGTTCTCATAAAACCATCAATATAATGCAATTTTAATCCAAGTTGTTTAATACATAAGGAAACATACACATCTTCCAGATGAAAAAACGGAACATCTTTTGATATTTCAATAACCTTTGTGACAACGTTCAAACTGGTGATGTATCCAGTACCCGAACAAAAACCTGGATAGGTTTTTTGTGGATAACTTTTAAGAGAAGCATACCATTTAGATCGTGAATTTCTAATAGGCCTTGCACTTTGCTTACAGTTTCCTCCAACGGCAGACTGTAAAACTTTGGAGTTTTCATTTATGACTCGAGTTAGTCCAGGAATATGAACGTACATATCGTCATCTGTTTTCATAACGAACTGTGCGTTTTTACAGTATTTGGTTGCCCATTGATAACCCATCAATGTTTTGTAAGTGAGATTATTGTACGCGTCCTTAAAGTTTCCCAAAATAATATCTTTTGTTTGGACGTTTTCATTCTCTAACTCTTTAGTCATTGGTGATTCGCCAAGAAGAAATACGTATCTGATATGTCCTTTGTTCATTTTTGTATGCGTCAACCAAGTCTCTCTTATGGCGTTTCGACTCAACTTATTTTGAGGAGAAGATGTTATCATAATCAGTATATCGATAGACTCGTTTTTTGTTTTACAAATATCTTCATTGTTTATCAGAAATTGGAACTGTTTTGAAAAGCATCCATCACATTTATATGGCTTCTCTGTTGGTTTAACTTTAACAGGACTATTGTGTACACGTGAACGAGTTGTCAACGTTTCAAACTGTAGGGTAAAATTTTTCAAACCACCTTTGATATCATCTATCATCCATGATGTTTTCTTCAAAAGAATAAATGATTGTTGTTTTGTGTACCACATTAAGGGAAAAAAAGTACTGAGTAAAATCGTTACTAAAATCAATCGTAAAATCTCCCTTCGGCCGATTATCCATTTTTCACGTGCAACTTTCAACATAAGGACAGGTTTTCTTTTTAACAAGTTATATGTAAATGCACCTGAAATACAAGTAGAGTAATGGAATAGTAATATATATGTATATTCGGATATTAAATAAACTCATCAGAGATACCAGGATTGAAATTTTGTACGCCAGACGAACGTTTTGTCTACAAAGGTTCCTTTATTATGATTGTGTGCTATTAAATCGGATGCGTGAGTTGCTCAACGATAATGTTGAGGAAACTGTTTTGCGTTCGTTGCGTTGGTTGATATAGTCTAACGTTTGATATTGCCAGTTCTTATTAACTTCCATTTTTGAATTTATCTTGGAGTTCGGTATTTGTATAATACTTTTCCCCCATATATTTTAACTTTCTGGTGCATTTTTTAAAGATACATTCGTGAGTTTTTGTTTTCCAAATAATGAATAAATGATATAATTACGCTGATTGTTTTGCAAATAATACATTTTTCGTGATAATACACATGTCTATGACAACCAGGCGAAAGATGCCAAATAGACATTGAAACTTAAGTTCAAGACAAACTAACAACGCCATGGCAAAAACTGATAAGACAAACAACAATCTAAAAAAAAACACATTGTAGAAAACTAAAGACTGAGCAACACGAAACCCACCAAAAACCCAAAAGAGTCAGCAGATCCTGATCCACATATGACACCCGTCGTGTTGCTCATATAAGTACACATTCGGTGATGTCACATTTGAGGAAAAAAGACGGGATTGTGATTACCACGATTGGAACATATCCATCGTCATCTGTAAAACAGATATTCCATAACGTTCAACCATCTTGAATTTTCGATTAGATGACCTAAACGTTACCACTTGGAACCCTTAGTTAAATAGCTACCGTGTAATCAGTAACCCCTATTAAGGAAATAATCATAGGAAACGCAGGCTGTGGAATATCATATCACGTTGGAGATATATACTTGATATTTCTACTAAACGAATTTTAGTCTAAAACCGTTATCATTGTTATCATTGTATCACAACTGATATCAAAATCAACAACTGTTCTATCTCCAATTTTCTAGTATTTGCTCAATATATCTAATATATTTAACTGTTATTTGTTTTTATACTAACACTATTATATGCTTTGGTAGTTTCTTACTTTTATAAGTTGACATATTCAATAAAGTTTACTACAAACATTAACAAAGAAAAAACTAGAATTTACATATCGTCATAAACCTACGTTGCCTTGGAAACGTTTTTTTATAGGTATACGGTAATTTTGAACTTAACATTATCTGAAAAGCCTGAAACTCAAAACCGTTAAGTCTCATTAAGAGTTGCGATAGTATTGAGATATGTTCTTGTAGTAAATTTAGTTATAATAATACATTTTTGCTTGCAGTCAAGTCAGGACTGTTCATTAGCTTTTCAGTATGTTGTCCGTGTGTATATTTGTTATTATATTTTGTAGTTTTTGGACCTGCAAATATAGAGCTCATGCAAGTGCTTACTAGATAATATATACCACAATGTTTGTTAATATGAACAACATCTTCTATACTTATATTTTTGTACTTGCATACGCTTAATATTTTTTTCGAAAAGCTTCTTAATAATATCAATAATATTATATTAATTATATTTCAACGTTATTGCAGTCTGAACGTGTGGCATACTAAACGATTAATTTTGAACTTAAATCACTTAAATTTGTAATACTTCTTTTTTGTAGGTCAAAAAAGGTTATGAGCTTGCCTCATCATACAAAAATTTTATATTTATTAAGCATTTTAATTCATGGTTTACCTCTATCAATAAACTGCACGAAACGAAGAAAATTGGTACCCTACGAATAAAAAATAAAGTCAAAGTGTGTTTTAAATTTTAATTCCTTTTTTTGTATTGAATTATTGACATGTCTTTTCAATATTTTCTTAAGTGCGGGTTAAACACTAGTTTTGAATAGCCTAAATTGAAGTAAACACTGGAATTTACCAGAAGTAATATAAAGAAGACAAACAAAAAAGTTAACCCTTATGGTAAATGAAAATTATTTTATTATTGGTTTAATATTTATTAAGATTTAAAAAAAAGAGATTTTATAAACATGTTTTTATAGTCTCAATTGCAGTGCACCTTAAGTATCTGCTATAAATAAACAGACGTAATTAAAGTAGTGAAATAAAAAAAAAAAAATAAGCCGTATTATCTTGGGTTAACAAGTTACATTATTCAAATCAATGCGTTAACTTGTTTCTACTTTTTGGAAATGGATGAGTGTTGTAAATTTGCAATACATATTCCTAATGTCTTTTCTGCTTATTTTTCTTAGATGTTAAGTTATGTTTAGCATCTGTATATGCTAACGTTGTCGTAGTAATGAAAATATAATTTTGTTGGAAGACTGGGACTTTATACTCTGTAAGATGGATATAGGTTAACATCCAAATCAAGGAAAAGAAAATAAGTAATGGAGAGGGAAAAGTCGTCCCGTTTATCAATATATTTGTTATTGTAAATTGTTTGTTATGCGATAAATCTGGAGTAATTAAAAACGTTAATTCAATATGCTATCAATATATTTATTTTACAATTATGCAAAGTTTACATTTCTAGTTTTAAAATCGATGACAGATATTGACAGTATTGCCTATTAAACATAAGTAAAATTACAGTTCTAGTGTAAAACTTGCATATCAAAATGTCTTCTCCAACAAAAACGCCATCTTGTTGATTCTGCAATGCATTGTTTGCAAAGGTCTCACTGATCCCTAAAGTTGTTAAAAAAAATTTATTGCACATTTTGATATGGTTTCCATCAACGTTAAGTGAGTACGATCTGTGAACATTTTTCTTTTTTTGAACAGGTTCGTTGTTATCATCTAAATATGTTATAGTTTTCTTTTGTGTTGTATTAGCGATGATAAAATCCTTCTTTCTGTCGTTTGTATCCAGAGACCAAAATGTTTTGAAAATTTGCTGCCTATGCTCGTCGTCTATACCTAAATGACATTTAAAAGTGCATTTTGAACAGTCTACAGGTTTTACTTTTTTTTCTTCAACAACTGTCCCTTTCACTGAAATATACTACTTTCCAGAAAGTCTCAGTTTTTTCCTAATATTCTTCTTCCATGTTTCAGGGATCGCTTTCCGTTTTCTAAATAAAGACTTTTGTGGTGGTGTAATAAAATTCGGAGCTTTTCTTGGTGGTGTTCGTTTTGCTTTTCTTGGTCTTCAGTTGTTTCATTTCCCCTCATTATTTTTTCATCAGGAACGGTCAGGCCTTCTTGCTGTTTTTGCTCATCTTCTAACTGGGGCTCACCGAGCTTAGGAATACATTCTATTGTTGTCTCTGTTTCTATTTCATCTATGTTCCCTATAACTTCTGTGTTTTCTACCTGTTCTATTGTTGTTTCTGTTTCTATTTCCTCTCTGTTCCCTATAACTTCTGTGTTTTCTCCCTGTTCTATTGTTGTCTCTGTTTCTATTTCATCTCTGGTCTCTATAACTTCTGTGTTTTCTCCCTGTTCTATTGGTGTAGATATTGACGTTCTATGTTGTGCATTTGTAATGTCTGACATACCTGTAATTTCGGAGGTAGGGTTTGGAATATGGACAATTTCATTGGACCATTCCTCGTCAGATGACCATTGGTTATCAGACATCTAGATAATATAAGAAAAAAAGGAATGATATTAATAGTTTTGGAACCTCGAACTAATGTTCTGCACTTATTTACTTGAGATACAACACCTGAGAGCTCAAACATATCTTGACTCAGCCTAGGTTAACTGTGCTTGAGAAACAGAAATATCTTTGCACAAGGTTTTGATAACTAGATCTGCATAAAAAGGTTATGATAAGATTTTATTTCTAAATTAAAACCCCCTTTTTTTAAATTATTATAAACAGGTAAGTAAGAGTTGGTTATATTAGACACTTTAAATTGTGTGTTGCGTCTGTACAAAGACTTATTTTTGGTAACATATAATACTCATAAGATAAGTACGAAGAAGTCTTTTATTGCATTATATTGCAAAATATTCGATTACCGGTAATGAAATATTGCAAGATTTCATTAAAATAATTATAAAATTTCTCAAATAACGTTTTTCTAAATTAGGTCATGTAATTTGACATTCATAGTTTGTTTATTCTTAAACATAATATATAATAACGATTCAACAAAATTATCTTAAAAATACTAGTTTCAAATGTGAGAGTTTATAACATGAAACGAGATATAAATATTGTTGTTGGTTAATATTCAGACTTGGTGTCAAAGGTATTTGGGCTTAATGTCATTCCTTTATCTTACCTTTAATTAGATGGTGTTTAATCTACGTCATCAACAACTAATTTATCATACATTGGATCTTCTCAATCTGAAAATGGTGAAAAAAGTCATTTTTATGTGTTTGAGCTTTCGATTTTTCCATTTGATAAGGAACATTCCGTTTTGAATATTTCTAAGAGTTCGGTACTTTTATTATTTAACTTTTTTATATCCCCTCCTATAAGAGAAAAATATCATAAACTCTTGCTTGATAACTAATGATTAAAAATAATAATGATCCTTACTTTTATTCATCAAATTCAAAGATATTTAGCGTTATATCAAATTAATATAAATTTACGTTGTATAAGATTAAAAAAGCAACTAAAAACAGGCATCTAGATTTGACTAGAAATCCTAATTGGATTATTTATTTGATAAAATACATTGCAATCACATAATTAACTTGAATAAATCAAAATAATAAAAGATATACATACCATTTAAAGTTCTTTCGTCTGTATTCCAATCTAGAATTTTCATTATATACTACATTACCACATGATCAGTTTCTATTTTGTGTAAACTACAATTCACTTATATTTGCTTTACGACTTCTTTTCACTCTACATGTGTATTTATAATAAACATCTGGAACATATTATCTACTGATAAGCCCTGTAAGTTCTTATTGCATCAAAATAAATATGTATCATGCAGAGCCAAAACCACTTATCAGTTCTTACTGTTATATAGCGCAAACATCTAAATTAACCAGAAATGTATTCTAAATCTTCAAAATGATTTATCTCAAAATAATACAGTTTGGTTGAAAAAAAAGTTATTTAACAATTACTTCTGATTTTGCATTCTATAGTATTTTTAGGTGCAATGGTTAGGCATTTGACTTTTAATTTCAATTCAGATAAGACATTTAAGTTCTATCGTATAAAAAAATCAATGCATTATTTGATTGATCTAATATTTATAGGGATTATTTATAATGCAGTTCACCATATAATAAGCAAAATAACCCATTTTGAGTACATTTTTAGATACGACTCTTTGGCACTAACCCCTCGATTTGTTACTTCCGGTTTGAAAAATATCACTTCCGGTATTATTTGATAGTTAACTTGACACTGATTCCAAAAATATATGATTCTATATATTTTTACATTAAATAAGTACAAACAATAGCTATTTCCGGTTTACACAAGGTAATTTCCGGTTGGCTTTTTCAAGGTCAAATGGCTTGCAACCTAATGCAAAAAATCCCATGGCTTTATCATGTATACATATGAGGTAAAAGCAAAGGTCAAAATCTAGAGCGTCAAATAAATCTATGACCTTTACCTCAATTTCAAGTCATTAACCAAGGACTTCAAATCAAAAGACCCTAGGTCTTAATTATATATGGTTAATGAGTTATATCACCATACACGTAATTTTAAATACAAGAGGGGAGAAAACTCTAATTAAATTTTAGCGTACCCTTTCAACCAAAATTTATGTTTACATGTAGTTTAGGTTTTCACTACACGCAGTCGATAGTAAATGTAGGCCTTGTGTGGGTTAAGTGTTCATAAAACTAGATATTAAGAACGTGGATTTTATAGTGAATATTTAAGGAAGTTACAAATATTAAAAAACATGATTACAATAACATATGAATTAAGTAATTTACCTATTCATATGACAAAAACTCAAAATTATTTTTACAGTTAGTACCAGTCCAGACTGTTCAATTCCAAAATCACCCCATGTTGTGACTGGGGAATAGAAATATGGTCACTTGGATCGGCCGTAAAACCCTTGCCAAAGTGGGGCGTCCGTTTTGCTGTGGGGGATGTACAAGTACTCAGCCACGTCCAATCAGAATGGGAACATTACATCCGATGCCTCGTGAAGAGAGAATGTCAAGATATCTGCGCGTTAAGAAACATTGCAAAAACTCTTTGAGGGGTCCGAAGGTGGCCTGTTGCAAGGCAAAATTTCTGTCCCTATCCAATATACTCTCAGTTTTCAATGGCAGTCCGAATTGCCCCGATCTTCATTTCGGATGGCCTCTATTACAGAACTTAAATTTTGTATTTATTGTAAATTTATTCTCGACCTGACCATGCATGAAATATTTGCCACTGGATGTTAATCAATCAACAATCAATCAATCAATCATTTTGAAAATCCTTTTTTGGGCTACTTTATGCTGTTCTAGCCCGCGTAATCGTGACATCTTTAGAACTCTCAAAGTTTTCCAAATCAATAGAACGATTTGCTTAAGGTACACACCATTCATCGCCGTGGGACAAACCATTTATTTTATTACCTTAATAGCAAAAAAAATTTCAATAACATACAGGATCATTTTTTGAACTCCATGTTGAAATTACTCCCTCCTCCCCGCCCTCTATTTTCAAGGAATCAAACAATTTTCTCACTTCCCTCCTAAAACATTACATAGAATTGAATTAAAAATTCCTCTGTACATTTTTCATTCAATTCTATGTAAGGTAAATGTAAATTACGTGTACATGTTGTTTACTGGTGTGAACAATGTTCATGTACCGGTGATTAAAACCCATGTACAGATGAGAACAAATTTAATGTGAAACCAGTGTTCATTACACGAAACTAATTGTAAACAGGTTTACAGTACGCAACGTTTGGTGTAAACACGGCCTTAGATCTTTACATAAGGGAAATATATTCCTAGATGTACAATGATATAAAAAATTTCAGTAAATTTTGTTTAAACAATAAAATTGAGAATGTAAACGGGGAATTTGTCAAAGAGACAACAACCCGACCAAACAGCAGAAAACAGCCCAAGGCGACCAATGGATCTTCAACACAGCGAGAAAATACGGCACCCAGATGCAGGCTTCAGCTGGCCCCTTAATAAAAATGTGTACTAGTTCAGAGAAAATGGACGTCACACTAAACTCCGAAACATATAGATGAACCAAAATAAACAAACAAAAAATGTCCGTTCTTTCATGCCATTCCTGGGCTGGTGATACCATCTTGGACGAACAGTCTACATGCAGAGATATCTTCATTTACCCTGTTATACGTTCCCAGTTTGTTTTACTCATTAACAATAAAACAAACAATAATCATATATTGTCTAAACTGCGAATGCATTAAAAATTATATTATCAATAAAACACTAATTTTACACATAATTTACTGTATTTATCGGTTTGCATAGTTCCTAACATTAACAGTTCCAATTGTACTACTCCAGATGCGCATGTCGACAATTAATTTCATTGCAGTGAGGCCCGATGCCGAACTATTTGAAATTCAGAAACCTAATACAAAACGTATAAGAGCTGATCAAACAAAAAGGACCAAACGTATAGACCATTCTGGACAAGGAATCAGAGATTTGCATAAAGGAGGTATAGTCCGTAATTTAAAATGTTTTCCAAAAATCAAATTTCAATCAGACATTATCCGTATTTTTATGCCCATGATGCCAGTACCAAGTACTTTCTGCTGGGTTGGAGATAATCTAACGTACAATATACATCGGTCTGTTTAGTTCTTGAATTCCATACTTATACGGAAAGAATTGATAAAAAAGAAAAATACATTTGAGACTAAGTAACCTAATAAGCCTGGAAATCGCATGGCTATAGCTATATGTGTGAAGAAATTTACGTTTAAAAGTAGAAAATCAAAGTTTTCATCCTTTCTTTAGGCTGTTATTTTTTTTTTATCTTATTACATGTTATGCATGTATAAGATATAACCAAGGATTCAATTAATCAATCCAGGACGGACGATATTGAAGACTTGTGTGGGCAGTGGGTCATCATAGTACTGACTATAAAACAAAATTGAAGTTGCAGTCCCAGATTTTTTGAAAAAAATTTTTTTTACGACGACGATAAACAACGACAAACGTTCACTATTAGCTGTTATTTCAGAATCCGTTTTCTTTTATAAATAAAACTTAAAGCATCTCAGATGCAGCATTTGGGATAGAAAATTAGTAGGTTGTAAAAAATAACATTTCATGAAGACTTTGAAAAATATATGTTAAACGTATCAAGAAAATGATTTCCTGAAATATGTAAAATCAACACATTTTGATATAAATCAATGAAATCAGTTGTCAAATCATTTACTGCATTTGAGGTAAATGTTTTGAACTCACCGTTCTTAAACCATTGTCGTGATGTCAGCCTATTCATTTACCGTGGTAATATAGGTAAAAGTACGGCCTTCAACACGGAGCCTTGGCTCACACCGAACAGCAAGCTATAAAGGGCCGCAAAAAGACTAGTGCAAAACAATTCAAACAGGAAAACCAACGGTCTAATCTTTATAAAAAACGAGAAACACTTATGAACCACACCAACAAACGACAACCACTGAACAACAGGCTCCTGACTTAGGACAGGTGCAAAAAAAAAAAATGCGACGGGTTTTAAACGTTTTAACAGGCGCCAACTTTCACACTAACCTGAAACAATGGTATAACATTACAACATGAAAAGACACACAATAAAATATCAATTGAAATGGCTTAACTCGATCAAAAACACAATACACAAAAAACAAGTAAATATACACTGAATGAATAAGTCAGTTTGATCTATGACACAATATAAATAAAAAAAGATGTTTCAATGTCAAAAAGACAACTTGAACCAAGGACAAAATAGCGTTAAATAAAGTAACGAACCCAGGTAAGTTTAAATATAATAATTTTGTTGTTAGGAGTACAGGAACATTTTTTACAAACAAAATTTGTTATTCATAGTACGAGTACAGAAGTGAAACTTTTTCTTCATACTCAATGAATATCAAGATATCAAGTGTGCTACATATTAAAAATAGTAAGACAAGATATAACGAAATAAGTAAACATTGAATAACAGAATTGCAAATTGTGTCAACTGGTCAAATTAACACGAAAGTACGATTTGAGAGTACTCGCAGTTACTGAAAGCTAGTTAAAAGCAATAAAACATTTAATAATAAAAAATCATGCATCAGAGACTAAAATCAATTAAAACACATTCCAGGCAGAGATTTAGTGTTTTAACGCCATGGACAGTCAAAGAAGACATGATTTGTGCAATGCCAAAATAAAAGTAAGGACAGGCAGTAGGATA